CCCGCGTCCCGCTTCCGTTAAAAAAATCAAAACTCCGTTTTCAAAACGCCTGCGAAACGCTTAAATCAAGCAACATTTCAGCGTTTTCAAAATGCCACAGCATCAAATAAGCTGCCCCAAACGGGCCCTAAGTTGTAAGCTAAATTTTACATTATTTTATACAAAAATTCATTATACGGGAAATCATATTAAACTGAGTTAATATCAAACCCAAATTCTTTCATATAATCTGTGCATAAATCTTATAATATATATATATATATCTGTGTGTGGGTGTGTGTGTGTGTGTAGATTTGTAGATTTATATATATGTATATGTATATATAGATATGTAGATGTTTGTATCTCTATGCATAGATATGTAGATGTATATATCTTCATATGTATATGTATATACATGTATATATTCATGTATAACCATGCATATGGTTATACATGTTATTAAAGAAGGTTTGGGAGAGGATCCTCAAACTAAGCAAGAAACCAAGGCAAAAAAACCTAAATATACATGCATATTCATATACATTTAAAGATATATACATCTACATATCTATACATAGAGATATAAACATCTACATATCTATATATACATATACAAATCTATACATATACATATACATATATATAAATCTACAAATCTACACACACACACACAAATATATATATATATATATATCTTCATATATATAGATACATATACATATATATGTGTATATATATACATATACATCTACATATATATGTGTATATATATACGTATATGTGTATACATATACGTATATGTGTACACATATACGTACGTGTATACACGTACGTATATGTGTACACATATACGTATGTGTATACACGTACGTATATGTGTACACATATACGTATATGTATACACATATACGTATATATATACACATATATATGTAGATGTATATGTATATATATACACATATATATGTATATGTATATGTATATGTATATGTATATATATATATATATATGTATGTATACA